ATATTAAAACAGCACAACTCTTATTTTTTAAAGAAATTATTTTATTCACAATCAGGAAATCCCTGTGCTTCAAAGTCACAGACTTTTAAAACAATCAAAGTTTAAAATCAGCTTGATTCATAAGTTTTAAACAATTTGAGGAGGGAAAAATTTCTCTCTTTAACTGAAGCATTTGTACAGCAGGCTTGTCTTTGTTAAAATTCGGTACTGTCCATTATAATTATCTATTAGCAATTTTGTTATTATCATATCCCTAAATTTAATAATAGACTGTGCCAAAAATGGAAGGTGGACAAGTCCACTTAATGAAATTTAGAGGGAAAAGGATTAACATAAGATAGGTTAATAAGACAATAATGTATATCAATTATGGCAGAACAATTCTCAAGACATTTTTCTTGTATTCTAACTTAATGAACAACTTCTTTGTGTTTTCACTTACACATTAAATTTTTTAATTTTCTTTTAACAAAATAAGAATTCTGTTAAAAAAACCCAACTTTTGTAATTGCTAAAAAAAAACAATTAACATAGAGGGGCCAATATATGTAGCATCTTTACATACATGCACTGTTAAATTAAAGACAAAAGAAAATGATCATCATGTCAGCAGACGACACTAAATACTTAATAATTACTAATACATATAGCATTATAACATAAAACCTTGACATTTCTTTATTGTCAATTTAACAGTGTTTTATGCTTTAATAAAAATCATTGTGTATTTGAACATATTTTTTAAACTAGTGTTGGCAATGTGCCAAATAAATTGTTTGTATGCTTGTGAAGGGCAATAATAGCCATGGACCACTTCTCAAAATGTTTGCGCAACAAATGATAATTTGACCTAGTGACCTGATAACCTAATTTTCAATTTCTATAATCTATTTTTGGGGGGTTCGGTTCTACATCGCACCAACACAGTAAAGGCCATATGGCAACTTTCCAGGCTTTATTGGTGGAGAAACACCATAGGTGTCTCTCTCCATGCATTATTTCAGGCACAACGGGCACCTAAATAGAACCACCTACAATCCGTAAGCTAGCTGGATATCTTCCTCACTAAAACCATATATAAAATTTGTCCTAAGCACAAATAAAATTTTGTGCGAATTGTTTCAATATGATACTCTAAATGATTATTCAAATGATTAAAAGAGAATAACTTCATTCTGATTCTCCAATGTCTAAAACAATGTCTCCATCCCCTTCTTTTCTTTTCCAATTAGCATTTTAACTATGTAATATGGCTGTCGAAGAATGTAAATTCTGAAAGAAATTTGGCTGCTTTTAAAATACTTAAGTTTTGTATATAGCGAAACTTCCTATATGAGACTGAAATATTCAAACAAGCATAAAATGCACCATTTCATTAGTGTTTTATACAATAAGGCCAAATCCAGTTTGGCATGAAGGCGAGACCCTTTTATCCCAATGCCTCAGATCTTGTTCATGATAATAAATTCTACAATAAAATGTGCACAAAAATATGAAAAATAAAATAAATTTATACAAAAACGAATATATAAATATAGCCAGTCACAAAGATACAACATTTTACACCCTAAGTTTTGCCTGTGAGATAGCCCTATTGACATACATAATAATTATGCTTCAAAATGTGAAATACCTAAATTCTACCAAAATATATAACTAAATGAAGACAAGTTTTATCACTTGCATAGATTCATATCTAATGATTCTAAGAAAAGTATCTTAATTCAATCCCCCACCTGCTGAATATCGAAATAAAACTTATAATTTTCACTTTATAATGACCTTCTGGCCTCTCTTTCAGACTCCAGTAATGTTAGGATATCGCCTCTTACTGTGCCTTTAACGTTACAAATAATTGATCTAGCTTCCAATTTTTGAAACAATCAATTATCAGTGCTGGGACTAGCAAGTTGTGCCGGCTGAGCTGGCACTATACTGGTGGCAAAGTCATATAACACTTTCGGTACCAGCAGATTAAGGGTTAGGACTTCTACATCTACATCTATGTGGTAAAACTACATTGGTACAAAATTCATATATATTCAACAACAGACTTCAAAAAATATAGCACTACCAGTGTATTTGAATAAAATTGTAAACTTACGAATTCCTTCAACCCTGCACATCATAACAGTGGTAAAAATGAAAAATTTGTGAAAATATCTACATTAACCAAAGAAAAACTATATATCAAGTGATCAGCACTATTATATATATTTAATCACATTATTGAAAAAATACGTTTATTACCTCCCTTGACATAATACATAATCATATTACCTTTGTTTACATAAAAAGCAATCATATTTACCTCCCATGACATAACATTAGAAATGGCTAAAAAAAATACCCAAAAAACTTAATTACCAAAAGTATTCATATAGCAAAAAGTACTTCTGTATAAATATATTGCATGTATTTATAGAAACTTATCAATTTATATATGTGTACAAGTAAAAAGTCTAAGAAAAATATTGAATTATTTAATCACCACTACATACATGTATAACTAACAGATTAACAGATTTAACAGATTTTGCAAGAAAAAAATTGTATAGAGATTCCAGGCAATGTTATAGTCAAAAGTTTTTTTTTCTTGGATAAATAAAATAAGTTATCCTAAAATATGAAGACCTGTTGATGGGCCATAACAATTTAACTGTGACATCTTTATCAAGCCATGAACCCTGACGAGAATCTTTGCTGTAGACCGATTAATGTTTAACACTATAATATAGCAATTGTTTTAATAAACAATGAACATTTTCAAACTCAGAGCTTGGCAAGTCCATTAAATGATGAAAGGTGTAAAGGGATAAATAGAAAGGGACCGATATAAATAAGGAGAAAGAGTGAAGATAAAAAACAAAACAAAAACAGGAAGACATAAATACAGCAGCTCTTTAACAGTCCCTGGAACTTTGTTTCTATATTGACACCTTCTTCTTTATTTTAAAATCCTACTTAAAGATTGCTAGTCAGAAAAAAGTATTCTATCCTTAAAGTCATATTAAAATATTGTTATGTTAAATTTCAAAATTATAAACTGCATTAAATATATCATAATATACATGACAAAATATTCCCTTAACAATTAACAAATATACAATAAAATCTTGACAAAGGTATTGGCATATTTTGATCCGCCCAAGAAGGCTAATTACAACCTAATAAATTCTGTTACTGATTTGAATTCTTACATTTTCATTCTGTTGTTATATCTCCCTTAATAAAAGTTTGTCCATAAAGCACTTATTTGAAACAGTATTTATCATTTAGCTTTGAAGTTTATTCTTTAATTGAATATATTCTTTCATATATGACATTCACAACCTTAACCCTGCCCTTAACCACTCCCCCTGCACTGCCTCTAAACTCAATGCAAACATAAAACTCCGCCCCAAACATCCATCGACAGGATCTCTAAACTCAACCCTTTTCCTATCATTGCAAAATAAATACAAAATATCAACATATCAGTAAGGAAACAAAGTCTGAACTAGTTTTTCATATGAGATGAATGATAATGAAATTTATTTTAAAGTTTGAAGGAGAAAAATGTAACAAAGTATGTAAAAATAATGTAGCATGTCTGATAAATCTATATGCATGTATCCAGTTTAAATAGTCCAGATAAAAAATGCAAATTTCAGATCTACCGTATAGATTCATAATTGATCTAAAAACTGTGAATATATTTATAGAATAATGTATATACCTATAAAAAAACCCTTACACCCATAAAAATAATTCCCCGAAAAAAGTGTTTTAAGCATTAAAGCGTACATATAATTACAATATTTTTGGTATAAACAAATTGAATAAAAGCATTAGTATTTTTTTTTGACAACTTATGAAAGTAAGAAACTAGCTTACTATGAAAATGGGGTAAGATCTTAATCAAATGAAAATGATTTACAATGAATTTATCTTAGACTGTGTCTGGTCATATACATGCTAAGGATCTTTCCTCCCAGAAAAATTAGTAAACCAGTCTCATAATTTGAAATCTGTGGGCAGATGGACTGTTCTCACTCTATTCCAAGTACTGAAGATTCAATAACACAAACAAATGATAACCATTCAAAAATATCTATAAATAGACATTTTCTGTACAGATTAGTTTATTTATCTATTGCATTAGTATTCTACAATCTAATAAGGCCTACAAAAAATCTCAACATCGTTAGACTAGATCAAAAACAGTCATTTTAAATTTAGTGTTACAAATATAACACAGTTATCTCTTAAATAATGTCAACCAATCATTTCTCTTTTTTCCCCATATAAAAATCAAAAGGCAAACAGAATTTTTAAAGGAAAAAGAAATATAAATAAACAAATAAGTATGATAGAATTATAATGTGTTAAATTGAGAGGTTTGTAACAAAATGTATACGATATATGAAAATCTTCAGATTACTCATTTATATGGAATTCTTTTTCTTATAGACGTGTCACACGACGTAACAAAAATGTATATGGCACATTAATATAGTGATATGATCTGATCGCATGATGTTACGTAAGGCCGAAAGTTTTTTGATGACCTCCAACACATTTTGTTCTGTAATTACAGCTCAGCTACTTTGTATGAACAAAATTATGAAATTACGTACAAGATTTAAGTGTTATAAAAATAGACCCGCCTTATAAGCAATTTAATTTCTAATGTAAATTCAGGATTCTCAGCCACTATTTTATTTCTAACCTAAATCAGCCAAGATTTGATTTCTTACATTATTTCAGAATAAATCAGCCAAGATTTTTATTCTTACATTAATTCAGAATAAAACAGCCAAGATTTAATTCCTTACATTAATTCACGAGTGTCAATTTTAAATACATTTATATAGACAAAAGCGATATTTAATAAATCTTTGCTAAAACTAGCTTCCATATGCAGGAAAATAACAATTAATATATTTCAAAATGCAAAAATTCCAACACTATAACATTATTTATTGTTTCTCCTTCTTTTCTTTAAATGTTTCTTGCTGTTGTTTTTTTAAATAGTTTTGACCAAATCTTTCATGATATCTGTATACTTATGCTAACTTTTAATTCATCCCCCTCCCCCCTTCTCATCCCAGAGAAAAAAAAAACATCAAAAACTCTTAATAATTATAAATGTAACAAGCTTATACAATCAATGCAATACACAAACAACAGGACTTCTTGACACTGGGTAGTATTCTTAGTAAAACTTAGAACTACAGTTCTATTTTAGTTATTGCAAGAGGAATATGTAACCATAACAAAAAACCTTACCCACAAAATAAGAACTGTGAAACAATAAGGTATGTTTTTGCAAAATAAAAAATTAAATTTCTTAAGATTACATCAAGCGTAATTTCTTAACATAAAGAGCAGCTTTTCAACATCAATAGAACAGTCTTTACAAAAAGAAAATTTATTAAAAAAAGTTACATAAAGAGAATATTTTATAAACAGTATCAACATGTACATTTCTCTTCTTCCTTTATTTTTTTGCTCTAACAATTGTTTTTCTATTTATTTCATATACCTGAGGAAAACAACAAAGTTACAACAAATGGTAAATAAAAATACACAATCTGTTTTTATCGTTAACAAATATATTATTTTCACTTCTATAACATGGAATGATAGTTCATTTACAACAGCAACAAATAACACCAACAACAACAACAACATTACCCAAGAGTCATTCTTAAGAAATTGTAATCTTAACAGTCTAACAAAAAAAAAAATTAATATTAATTTCCCATACTTTCAATTATATACACTACTATATTAACACTTATTTTAATTCTCCCTATATCAGTTTACATCATCACAGAATTTATTTTCCCTATTTCTTTTATCAGAAGAGAGAAAAAAATCAAATAAACTATACACAGATATGGATTTCAAGAAAGTTAAACACTTTGCTGCCAAAATTACTGTTCATCAAGATGAAAACTTTGACCTTGATTCAAAGTTGTAGCTTTCACCTTGACCCTAGTAAAATCATTTCACCTCATTTCAAGGTCAATATTTTACCCAGTTTCAAGGTGAACATTTTACATAGTTTCAAGGTCAACTTGTAACCTTATTTTAAGGTCAGAAATCCTACATATTTTGAAAGTCATACGGTAACCTAAACCATTTTTTCCGAGGTCAATATTAGCCCATCACAAGTTATTTCATATGACCTTTGACCCACTTTTAAGATTGACCAGATGAAGGTCTATAATGGCTAGAAAAAGATATAAATATTATAGGCACTATATTTGGACAGAACCTTCCTTTTCTCTACTCTTTCTTATCCTCATCTAATTAACGTCCCGAATGGAAAATCCCACAGCTTTGAAGATATTCCAAAACCTGCAAAAGGAACAAAAGCAGTGTTTAATATAACTTGTAGACAAAGCCACATAGCCACTTAATGAAACATGGCATAAAACATCAAAAATCTACACAACCTGTATTATATATAGTATTATATATAAACTACTTTAATAAAGAAGAGAGGTGGCCTAGTGGTTATGGTGTCTACCTCTTGATCCAATGGATTTAAGTTCAAGCCAACCCCGGTTAAAACCAGTTTTCTTCATATGATGCCAGTACTAGTGGATGGTTAAACCCAGTTTTCTTCAAATGATGCCAGTACTAACTACATTTGTAGTTCCAGGGAGCTAACTCAAGAATGGATTGAATAATCTAAAAGCTTTCAGCACTCATGCTTAAATAAATAATGCTTAACAAATTCTTTCAAAGTAAGGAGTATTGTTTTGTTTTGTTTTGGTTTTAAGTCACACCAACTCAATATTGAGTCATATGGTGACTTTCCAGCTTTACTGCCTGATGAATACCCTCGCTAGCTGGAAAGCTTCTTCGATAGCTTTCTCACATGAAATAATCTAAAGTCACTGATGGGAATCGAAACCACAGCGGTGAGGTGAGAAGTATATTTCAAACAATATTTTGTAAACTGACCTTGATTTTGTGTTTTAAAATGATGTTTAACATGATATGTCTTGAGATCCCTAAAATATGTTGATGACGGGTTGCCGTGATGAAGGTAGTAGTGTGTCAGGTCGTAACACAGGTATCCAAATATCGTGCCCGAAAACACCGTGTGCATGACCGCCAACGGTGCCATCAACCAGTACAGCATGTATATAAGTATTGCTAGTACGCAAGCTGGTACATGCGGGAACACAAGGCGAGTTTTATCCATTGGCGACTGAAAATACAGTAAAGAATACAATAAGCTTCGAATAAAACAATGAATTGGTAATAGCAACCAGTGAAAGAAACTGTTTCTATGGAAACTGAGAAATATATAGTTACTGTAAAATTTACCCATGAATAATGGCCACTTCCAATTTTGAATTTGGCACAGTCAATAATCATTTAAAGAGATTCAAGTATTTAAATTGAGAAGGCAATACAGTTCAATGTAGGCTTAAATCAATAACTTGTTTGCAAAATTTCTGATCATCTGCTCACGGTTTTTCAAGAATAATTGTTTTAATTGTGCAAAATAACCTAAAATAACGTGTTTCAGCACTCTTTAACTCTAACTGGTCTTAAAATATTGTTTTCATTTCTGTGGATTGAACTTAAATCAATTTATCTTAATTCAAATGAAAATGACATCTGGGCCTCATTTTGTAAGCTTTGTCTACTTATCCATTCCCATCTCCTTTTCTTTGCTCCTTTTCCAAAGTTGTTAGTAAGAAATTATAACTTTTTTTATCTGTTTACATATCACAAACCTTATAATTATAATGGACAAAGTATCATTCTTTTTCCTTCCATATTTGCACATATTGAAATTTGTATTCCAATCTAGATTGCTGTTTACATATTTGTTAGTTTGTTTTGTCCTGTTTTAAGTCATACCCCCACTCCTGACTGTAAAGGTCATATGGCAACTTTCCAGTGTTATACAACACCTCAGTTGCCCATAAGTATGTTATATCAGGCACAAGCCAGTACCCGTACAAAAACTGGCCGGACAATTTTCTCATGTAAGAATCCAAAGTCCATCACATGAAAAGTCGCTGATGGGATTCAAACACACAGCAAAGTTCATTTAACAATATTATAATACTGCATGTCTGTAACACCGTTTTTCATTGGATAAAAGTTACGTTTATATAGATTACATTTATAATCTTTATACACCACCGTAGTCTATTTACTTTTTTAATAAAGGAAGTTTGCAGTGTTATAATGATTTTCTGACAGGTTATATGACCCTATATAAATGGTTATTTGCAATATAACCCGCACCAATATATACCAACAACTGTTTATAATTATAGGGCATATAACCTGTAAAAGATATATGGTGCTGTACAATATTTACACAAGTACCATATACAGCTAGAAAAAAAACATCATAGACAAGCTGCCATACAATATATAATGTAATATGATAAGAATGATTCAAGTATGTCCTGTTTTGTTGAGAGAAATGTTAAATAATTTATTCTGTATCAAAATTTTATATTGAGGAAAACCTGTGTTTAGTTAAATGAGCATTGTTTCCTCAACACACTTTTAATATTCTTTCCATAAAATAATTCAGATACTTGCATTATTTACAACTAAAATCATGTATGAATATATAACTTAACATAATTAAGAATTTAAACTTGTTTTCAATGACAAAATATAGAACATATTCAATTTCAAATAATATTTACTTTTTAAGTAACATATCAAATTAATGAGAAATTGCTATTTGGCGCCAATTTATTGACATTAAATTGCAAAGAGGGGAGAAATATCAATACAACGTTATTAAATAATAACAACATAAAACACTTAACATTCAAATATTCATCTTCAATATTTATACAAGTGATATGGTATGGTAATGTAAGTTTCTTATAGGACAATATTGTCATTTTCAATAGACAAAATATATATATTCGGATTTTCTGTATTTTTTCAACCTATATCATACAAACATCATAACCATAAAGCTTCTTTCTGTATTGTATATATGAGCCACGTCATGACAAAACCAACACAGTGCGTTTGCGACCAGCATGGATCCAGACCAGCCTAGCCTGCGCTTCCGCGCAGTCTGATCAGGATCCATGCTGTTCGTTATCATTTTCTACTTGAAATAGAGTTGGTAAGCGAACAGCATGGATCCTGATCAGACTGCGCGGATGCTCATATAATCATGCCCTCTTCATTTCTCACCTCCTGATAGTAAATTCGGAAATTTTAAATTAATTAAATGAGTAAATCAGTCTGTTACATGTATATTCCATTTATAATATTTACACTATTTCCCTTCTTTAAAATTACAACCATAAACCCTCTTTTCTCATTTTTTCACACATTTCCATTCTGTGTTGTAACATTCAATTTACAATTATTTTCTTTCTTGTTCTACATACTACATTATCTTATCTAAAAAAAATATCTGTAGAAAAATAAAATCTTTATTACCAACTTTTTGGCAATGACAATTTCCCTGAAATAAATATAAATGCATAGAAAAAAACACATAAAACTTACACTTACAGATCTATATTTGACTCTTCTTTTTTGTGACAACAAAAAAATTCAGTGAGATCAGATCTAAAGTGTTTGTAATGTTACATTGTGTATTTCTTTAATTTCCTGTGTATAGATCTGGTTATTTATTCTGGAATCTTCAATGATACATCTGACTGTTTCTAAGTTAGAGAATCTCGATATCTCTCACTAACAACACGACATGACTAAAATCTAAAATTACTTCGAAAGAGAGTCGTTTTCAATTACATATAAACAAATTCCAAATAAAGAAACTGTTACCTTATGATGTTGTCCATGAAGTATGAAATGAACTGTGATGAGGAATTTAGAGTTTGGCGGAGGCGTGCTATGAAACACCCAACGATGTACAACATACTCCACAACCGTCCAGATAATAAAACCAACCATAAACAACACAGGAATAAAGAGCGACGACACTGCAGTCTCTGAAATGAAAAATTTATATTTTTTAACTTTAATACATTTGAAATGAATATCGTGTTTTTACAAGAGCACTTCAAAGAAATAGGCAAATATGCTACAAAGACAAGACATACCAAAGTAGCAAAATCTTTGATTAGCAAACCATTTTATATTAAGTTAATTTGTGTAATATTAATGTACTAAAATATGGAACCGCAATACCAAATTTGGAATGTTTTTATCAAGTTGAAGAACAAGTCGTCGTGTCATTAAAAAAATCTCGATTACTACGGAAATATGAAATAGATCATTAATATTCCAAAAATTATCTGAAGACGGCCACTCTTTGTAGCGAAATAAAATCTAATTTCAATCTCAAATATACATAACACTCTAGCAGACAAAATATAGCTGATTAAATTTTTTTTCTACCAAACGAAAGGTTAATAAAAATCACAGATATTTTCCCTAAAGAATATAAACTTGAAGAGACTGTGTACTACCTATTCTAATACAAAGTATGTTAGGAAAATCGTTCTATAGCTTCAATTCAAATGATCTGAAAAGTTAATGAAAATGGTGTGAATGAAAGTCTGAAAGAAAATACAGACCTATTGAATTTCCTTAGATGAAAAAAAAGTACAAATATAACTAATTTCTAACCCCATATTAATTCTAATATTTATGAAATTCTTGCTGATTATATAAGGAGCTCCAAAAGCCTAAAAACACAAAATTTTGAATTTTTTACATAACTCAAGTGAAGCACTTAAAATGGAAAACTCTGTAAAGGATAAAAAAAGTAAAATACTCAGAATTTAATTGAAAAACGATAGTTATTACAATTCCTATGCTGATTTAAGAGGTTTTTGGGTCATTTCGGCAATGAAAATAATCATTCTTGAAAAATAGAGTGATGAAATGATATGAAAATTTGCACACAGGTTATTGGTTCAGATCTACATCAATGGTACACTAAGAAAATTTCCAGTCTCATTTGATTTTGGTGGGGGTGGGGGTATTTCTGCACTCAGTTAACAAGTTGACTTCAGATTTTAAAGGGAGATTTTTGCTCAGAGGCAAGTGATGTGCTTCAATGACAATGACTAATTTGAAAGCCATTAATCTAGAACTTCGAAAACAAAATTACCTCCAAAACCAACAAGGTTCCAATAGACCGTCTCTGACTGGAACCGTAAATACGAGTCTACCAGGAAGAACAGCATCACCGGAACCCAGAACGGTGGCACAGTCCACCAATATGCCTTCGAGAATGTCTCCACAAAATCATTATGGAATAACCTCAGTGAGGTATCAATTGGACTGTGTACCCAGTCATAATATTTGTCTCCTAGGTTTCCAACCTGCCAGAAAATAGGCTTAGACCAGTCCACTAGATCATCCTGTAAACAAAAGGTCAAAGGTTACCTTCATTTTCTGCAAAAGCTTGTGTCAAGTTTATGTTGAGCATATATTACAATAATAACAAAAGGAATCTTACTCCAATCTTCCAGAAATTGTAGAAATTTAAAAACCTGAAAATTTTTACAATACAACAACTGCAGAAGACACCCTTTGTTTCGAGGGGGAAATATTTTTGTTGTTGCTGAAGAGGTGCTGCTCTACAGAGGTTAATTAAGAATGAAGTTTCATAATGTGAAAAATTAATACGGTTGTTGTAAAGAGTTTATTGCCCTATAGGTGGCCACTCTGCAATGGTTGCACTGCATTTATTATAGAATGAGAAAGTATTTAAGTGTTCATAAAGTGCTAATCCATCTACAATGTATTAATTTATAACAATGTTCTTGGTATACATTTACTGGAAAATTACCTTCACTTGACTTTTTTAACCTGCATGGAAAAGTTTTAAAGTTCTTAAATCAAAAATCAACTTAATATTTCACAATCATGGCTTTATCTATTTTAAGTCGTATTTTTTCTGTGTTTCAAAAGAAGACTTACAAATTGAACTACAGTTTTTTTAGCAGATCCATTTGCTACACCATTTGCATGTCCATTTTTATATCCATTAGCATAACCATTTGTAAGGCCATTTGCATGTCCATTTGTGTGTCCATTTGATTCTTTATGCCTTTGTGTCTGAAAAAAACAAAAATCAAAATTCATTTTTAAGGCACAATTTTTTTCGAAATACCTCTAGTTGTCACAAAAAAAAACTATCTGGGTAGCTTTAAGAATAATGATGATAATTCTACCTACACAAATCTTAAATATACATGTATAATGCACAGCATGATACACAAGATCATCTGTCACAAGTAAAATATTGAATATTTATGGAATATAAAAGGCTTTATGAAGCATAATACACTTTAGAAAGAGTAGGTGTATCTAACCATGCACATATTTGCTTAGGAATAGATATCAATAAACAGTGTGCATTGTTGTAGAAAATTGCACTGTTCAAGGTCACAAAACTGGAATGTGACATAAACACGGTCTGTTTAATTAACATTTAACCCCATCAAAAACTTAAGAAGTTATAAGAACAAACACTATTAGACAAAACAATGTAGACAAGACACTGTAAAACTAAACAATTTAAGACCAAACTCTGTCAGACCAAACAATGTAAGACAAAACCAAACACTGTAAGACAAAACACTGTAAGACCAAACAATTTAGGCCAAACAATGTAAGACCAAACATATAAACAAATGAACAAACAGGGAACCAGACAAACACTAAGCAGCTTGGTTGAATACTGAACTGAATCCAAACGTCCGAACTGTATGACCGACCAATCTCTGAAGCAAATGATCAAGCCACTAAACTGTGTGACCAAATACCTGCAAATAAGCACCAAGGTCAGTTTTTAACTAAGAACTGATCACTCCTTAATCTTCATAATTCTACAACTAACAAGCTATCCTCCCTTACTTCATGAAATGAACAAGACCTGCTTTGAATTATTGAACTGTCTATTGCCTTTGTATGGAATAACAGCAAGAACATTTTCATAAGGTTTATAAATCTGTAAAATCGGACAGCACAGCTGTAACAGCTGGCTAAAACAAAACAGGAATAAACCATTGGTTTACCATTGACCTCACATTTAGCCTGACAAAGCAGGAAAGTATTCAAGCAGTATTCATTTATAATAAATCCAAAGCAATCAATATGCATGTATATTGTACTGTGAGTACCATGAATGGTTGTTAAATAACCACTAGCAGATTCTAGGAGCGCATTCCCAGCACACACCCCACCTGAAAGTCCCCTGATAATATTAATGATGTTTACATCTATTTTTGCCCTAGCTATGCTAGGGATCTGTATATTTATTGCTTACTTTTCTAAATACTGCAGATCATAGAATAAAATTATAATGTCCACTGTATATGTTGTTTGGTACAGAGAAAAGTATAGACAGATGGATGACAGGAAAAAGTATTTTGGCATTAGAAATTAATATCGGGGAAAACAGATTTTTTGTTTTTAAAAAATTAATCAGGTTTACTTTAGGGTACAAAGTATTCAAAGACATACTGACAAACACAGACCGAATTTGCAGCAGACAGACAGAATCGTGACTATTATAATCAGATTAGCAAATAATTGACAATACAAATGAAAATTATGCAAGAATGAATAGAACATTATAGATAATTAATCACTCTGCCTGAAGTTATCTTGTCTGCCCACTATAGCAGAGTCAGCTGTTATTGGGAATAGCATTTTAATATGATGACACTGCAGTATTGCTGATATTGTCAGAACAAAGTGTACGCTTAAAGTGAGACGGTCGTCAAACTATTATTATTGAACTTTCACGTAGACTTTTAATAATCTTGCGACATAAATGCACATTGCTTTGTATATGGCAATTGTATGGTTCATTTAATTTTAGAGGCACATTAATCCTTTTACCTGCAAAATTTCCTAAATTCTATTTTTGGCGCTGCCATAATATCAATTTTGGATATAATCAAGATATTCAGCAAAGTACTTAGGCTGGAAAGCTTAAGCTCTATACTGGAGGCAAAGGTTACTTCTTTATGGTTACAGCAACATAAGGGTAAAATAACATTTAACAGCTTTTTTAGTCATCAATTGTTTGTATATTTTTCAAGACCAGATAGTAGACACCTTGAAATTAGCATCTTGGGTTCAGTCTGGTTTTAGCATTCTCTCTATCATCAATACTTACAACACCCTCAATATCTTAAATGGACTTTTCCATCTTACAGTCTGAACGGAACCATTAATCATTTTTATGGATCAACCTACATGGAATGATATCACTTAAGTAAATAACAAAAAAGATTATTTATCAAATACCCTTTTAAGAGCAATGCACCAATAGCCAGCTGTAACTGGCTTCACACATACATGTACTAACCAGTTTTTACTGGCTTTAAACAATTACTTTAATCAATACCTTGATTTTCAATGTCCCTATTTTAATCAATTTTTTAAATTTTGCACTATCCTTTTGAACAAATATGTTAACAGGCGATAAACATTATATACATATAAGGTCGTTGAAATGTAGGCGTTTTATGAATCAAAGCTGTCTGTAATTGACAAAGTAGCGCTCTATTCAAATGCATAAAGCTTTCCGCATTTAAAGATTTTATGATATAATGGTTAACAGTATAGATTATAACCTATTAAGTTCAACTTTGTTTATCTTTTGCTTTTTCAAAAGGTTCTGCCACGCTTATTTCACTTTCCAATGCAATGCGGGTATGGCAAATAATTCAAAGACATAAAATGTACTTAACTGGTGTGTGTGATGTTTTTACACGCAAAACCAAATGATGATGACCATTTTGATTTAGGGGCGGTAACCTGCTATATATAGCAAACAATGGAATGTCAAGGTAAACAACAATTAATGGCCTTCTTAAGCACCTAATTGGCCATTGCTAACCAGTGCACTAGTATTAAAGAGAAAATTTTGGTCTATTGCTACCTATCGGTAAAGCGCATTATTCCCTGACATTTAAAATAAGAAATTATCTATAACCTCTTGGGTACAGATGTCCTCATAGAAAATGTCGGAACACATGCACATGTTCTACTTTTATATTAAGTGGGACACAGGTATTGACTGTATGCACACCTTTTATGCTACAGACATCATAAAACAACATATGGACAAAGATTTGTCACAAAATAATTTATGAACAAAGCAATGTCATAAAATCATTTTTGACACAATGAATATTTACAGCTTTTGTGAGGTCACAAACAAATTATTTATTCTGATTTATGAACATTTAGTTGTGGCCTTTTTTAAGGTCATACCTGATATCAAAGTCCTATAACAAAAAGTCAAAGCTTTTCTGGCAGATTAAAAAAGTTACAAGGTTTAACAAATTACAAGTAACATGATTTTAAACTTATTTTATAGGGCCTTTGGATATGAGTGGTTTACTAATTGACTGTGTTTCTGAGAGGTCTGTGAAACAGGTCTGCTAATGGAATGTGTATATGAGAGGCCTGAGATTTAGGTCTGCTAATGAACTGTGTTTATGAGAGGTCTATGAAACAGGTCTGCTTATTGACTGTGTTTATGAGAGGTCTGTGATACAGGTCTGCTAATATATGGTGTAGATAAGAGGCCTGTGATTTAGCTTTGCTAATGAACTGTATTTATGAGCGGCCCGTCATATAGGTCTGCTAATAGATGTTGTATTATAACACGCCTTTGATACAAATTTTGCAGTATTTGTTTACAACTTAATATATAAGAGGTTATTTGATTTATTCTTACAGAATGTGACTATATCTTCCAAGTTTGGTCTTTGAGTGGACAGTTTAACAGGTTTTTCAGTACATTTACCTGGTCAGTTTAACAGGTTTTTCAGTATATTTACCTATTCAATCTAAAGTGCATACACATATCTACTTTCATTAAATTCAAAAGTATTTGTAAATAGGGTAAGAAAATAGAGATACCCTAGTGTATATGACAGGCTCAGGTGATGTCTTTATTTTATGGTGTAATCAATCATAGAAACAGAATGTGACCAACTATCATTTACATTACTATTTAAACACACTTAAATGCTTCAATGAACAAACACTGAACATAAATGATAAAAAAATTAACCTCAAAATGCTTTGAGACATACATGAAATGCTTTAAAGCATATTAGCCGTTACTGATGATTTCAGGTGTGCTGCCCACTGTTTCTTATTTATTGATAATTCAAACATGTAGGACAGTGTACACCACTATTCTCAATGCTTCAGTAAAATAAAAGAGGAAATAACAAAGAAGATTTCATTCAAGTAACACATTTTTTATATTTCGTTAGAATTTTCTAATTTTACAAAGGGCTATAATTATTTCATTCAAATTCCATGCCAGAGTTATTGGTCTTGCAAAGTGATCTTCAGTTATAAAAAATGAATCAAGTATCAAATGAATACCATTAGTAGTTACTGTTATAAAGATGAATGTTGCAAGAAAAGCTTAAATCCAGAATTTTCCGAGTTAAGGAAGGGCCATAAATAAGTCAATATCCATGCCAGAGTTATGGGCCTTGGATACTGACCTCCAATTATGATCCTTTTAGTCCACAAATAGTAATAATTCTGTCAAGTAAAGCGACCTCCTATTATGATCTCAAAGACATTAGTAAAGTTACAAGAAAACATCTTTAGTGGTCGATTAGATATGATATTGTACAAGAAGTTGCATGTAAAACTTTTAACAAAATTGTTACCAACACCAACACTCAATGCAAAAGTGTGTCGGACACCGCAACTTTTTTTTTTAATAGTCGAGCTAAAAAATATCCTTGGCTTTTACTTGCATATTGATTTTGTATCTATTGATATTTATAGTAACTTCTAGAAGGTACTTTAATAGTGATTATATTGCAATTTTAGGAAAGAGACAATTAAACACAAGTATCTACAGGGGAGAAATATGACATGCCTGAATGGACTGGCATCAAACAATCAAGATCAATAAAACACAAGAGATTCATTAACAGATAACAGATAACATCAAATTGTAAACAATAGTTACATAGTTACATTCAACTCACTCAGGGCAGCAGGAGGTCTTGTTGGAAGTACCAGGTAGGGGTGGGACTTTGGGAGACATTTACTCCTTGATT